CTCTAAGGTAAGCCAGGGAGTATTTTTCCCGGACATGTTTGGCTTTTTGGAAATTCCCCCCGGACGGGGGTTTGATTACCAAAAAGCCGGACATGTCTGGGAAAAAACGGACGTATGGTAACCCTAGTAGTAGCAGCAGACACAGAGGAATGGGATGGTGAGGAGTGGTGGGCCCAAGCATGTGTGTTGGCGTTTTGGGGCCTATCCTAAATACATTTCCCTCCCTCCCCTCTCTCTCTCTCTCTCTCTCTCTCTCTCACACACACACACACAAAATTAAGGTATTTTAAAAATTCAGGATATTGTTTAAAGGATACTCTATCAAAAAGATCAAGTTGGTAGTGTCACTTTGAAAAGCCAAGTTTTATTTTAAAACCTCATGTAATATCAATTAGCATCGTCCAAAATATCTCTGAGTTTATGGCCTTATTCTGAGTGGATAAGTGCCACAAACCAAGCCCAGTTTCCAGTGCTTGAGACGAGGAGTGCCAAAATGCTTCTCTCTCATCCAATATGACTGATGTGTGTTCTTGAATTCTTAATACAACACTCAGGATATTTCTCTGATTATAGGAATGAGGTCACAAATCTAAAGAGGCAGTAAGGAAAAAAAATAAACAGAGGAAGAAAAATACTCAAGAAAACAGGCTGCTGAATTTCAAGTAAATAAGAGTATGGCAAAAAAAAACCTGACATGGATGTTAAATCTATCACATAAAGAAAGCAGCATGATCAGCTTGTGTCAGACACTGACACTGGCAGTATTACCTTCTGAACCACCAAGCAATGGAAGATGTCTCTATATTGCTCAATACCATAAGGGTCTGCATTTACATCAGAATTTACTTTTTTTTAAAGCCCTTGTCAAGTACACAATTGTCCAAACTTGGCTTACATGCCAACATATAGATATGCAATTCTGGAAGGCTTCATTTGCTGAATCCTATGGAGCAAATATAACCTTCCTGTTCCACAGAAACTCCCAGAAGGGCAAGAGAAAGACTGGACACTACTACCGACACTTTCTGAGTTCATCTTGGTTTCAAACCGCACATTCCACAATGGAGTTTTATCACCTACGTTCTTTCTAGGAGGGTTGTCTGAGGTGGGGTCTAACACTGAGCTTTTTCTTAAAATGTCTCACTAGTGCACTACCATCACTGCAGCTCCCCCAGTGCAAGATTTAAGGCAGATAAATGATGTGGTCTATCCCTGTTCAGAGAGGGCAGGTCTAGATGGCATAGCGATAAAAATTCCAGAAACCATTAACACCTTATCTATATTGAAGTTCCCACTGTTGCTAGGACCAGTGGTAGTGCAGTGGTGAAATATTTTATTTTTCAGTGTAGATAAGCCCTTATTGTCATTAAAACACAGCACAAATAACCATAAAGTAAAAGTTTAACTTTAATGCAGTCTCAAGCATCTGTATAGTTGTTTGCAAAGGAAAACAGATTGCATTTTGGTGACTAAACCATACAGAAAACTGAAGTTAAGTATTTACCACAGATTTAAGGAACAACATTCTTGTAATTAGCATACAGGACTGGGAATCAAGAGAGATGGATTTTATTCCTGGCTCTGTCACAGATGCCCTATGTGACTCTGGGCAAGTCACTTATCTGTGTCTTAGTTTCCTCACCCCTGTAAAATAGGGATAATACCTGTCTCTCAAGGGTATTCTGAGGCTAAATTAACTAACGCCAGATTCTTCAATCTGCTAAAGGCATTTTTTGTACAACATGAACAATGTAAAGTGGCCTTAAACTAGCCAGAGAATTCCCCATGTTCAAGGAAACTTTACATGAGTGGAGAGAGAGCTGCATACGCCGCTTCACTGCCTCCTGCAAACAGGGCTGGCTCCAGCATTTCTGCCGCCCCAAGCCAAAAAAAAAAAAAAAAAAAAGCCGCGATAGGCGGCGGCAGTTCAGCAGCAGGTCCTTCACTCCTGGAGGGAGTGAGGGACCTGCCACCCCCGAATTGCCGCAGGTGCCGCCCCTCTCCCTTGGCCGCACCGAGCTTGTTAAACTGGTGCCTGGAGCCGGCCCTGCCTGCAAAAGCCTTCCCACAATCTGCAATGTAAGCCAATGGGTCACAGCAGAATGAAGCTCTGCCACACCCACTCTGCCATTGGCTGTGCAGCTTTGAACGAGGCAGCTGCAAACGACTCCGTGTGACTTTGGTTGATAAAGAGAGATGAGGAGAGCGATGTTCACAGATTCATAGACTTTAAGGCCAGAAGGAACCATAAGATCATCTTGTCTGACCTCCTGTCGGTGCTCAAGTCATGCTGGAATGCTCTGGAATGGCATTCCAGTATTTCTGACTTAGTTTCCCGCTCTGGAATGAGAGATGGCAGCTCAGTAACCTGCCCAGGTTACTGAGATGCCATCTCTCTTTCCGGAACAGGCCTGAAGCAGAAGGGGTGGAGGTGGCAGTGTGAGGAGATGGCGGCTTTTCCTCCTCCACTTCTGCTTCTGGACCATTCTGGAATGGTCCAGCACTTCTTTTATATTTTTAAGGACTTGAGCACTCTTCCTGTATATCACAGGACATCATATTTTACTCAGTTACTCCTATATTGAGCCCAAAAACTTGTGTTAGACTAAAGCATTACTTGTATTTGGCTAAAGTATATCTTTTGGAAAGGCTTCCTGTCTTTGTTTGAAGACATCAAGAGATGGAGAATCCATCACTTCCCTTGGTGGTTTTGTTCCAGTGGGTAATTATCCTCAATGTTAAAAATTTGTGCCTAATTTCTAATTTGAATATGTCCAGCTTCAGCTTCCAGCCGTTGGTTCTTGTTATGCCCTTCTGGGTAGATTACAGAGCCCTTTAGTACCTGGTATTTTCTTCCTGTGAAGGTATTTATACACTAATCAAGTCACCTCAGTCTTCTTTTTTAATAAGTTAAACAGTTTGAGTAAGTCTCGCACTGTAAGGCATTTTCTCCAGCCCTCAAATAATTTTTGTAGCTCTTTTCTGTGCTCTCTCCAATTTTTCAACATCCCTTTAAAAAATGTGGACAGCAGAATTGTACACAATATTCCAGTATCAGTCTCACTAATGCCATATACAAAGGTAAAAATCACCTCTACTCTCACTCACTACTTTCCTGTTTATACATCCAATGACTGCGTTAGCCCTTTTGGCTACAGCATCACACTGGGAGTTCATGTTTTATAGCCTAGTACCAATCCCTGTGGAACCCCACTAGAAACACTCCCATTCAATGATGATTCCCCACCGATGACTATTTTTTGAGATCTGTCTGTTCGGCCTGAATGTTCCTTAATTGTTCCAAACTTTCACCTTCATGTTTTAAATATTTTCTTCTTTTCTCTCACCCCATTAGAAATAAAAAATCCTCAAAACTTACCTCAAAGGAATATTCAACATTTCTTTCATTCTTCTTGTGTGCCAATCCCTTTACTTCCACTTTTTCAACACTCACTATTAAAAGTAAAGAAATGAGAAGAATAAGAAGGAAGTCCCCAAACACCGAGAAAACTAGTTATTCTTATCTAGCACCAAAATTTGTTTTGAGAGTGAAGCATGGCAGTATTACAGGTATATACAAAAATAAATTTGCCTCATTCAGTGCACAGGAGGAATGGCGATCATTGAATGGGTAGCTGTTTAATATTTCTTTCAATTTTCATCATTCAACGTGAATCCACATGACTTAGTTACTGCACACCATCCGAACTCTGCACTGAACACAGAATTCTTTATTTGCTCATGGTCTTTCTATGGCACTTAAAACCATAGTAACAGAGTTCTTCACAAACACCAATGAGTTTATCTTCACAACATCCGTGTGAGGAAGGGAGATATCATCATCCCCATTTTGCAGATGGAAAACTGAGGCACAGAGAGATTAAGGAGAAAATTGTCAAACATGTCCACTAATATTAGGTGCCTGACTTTTTTCAGAGTGGTTAGCATTTTTATAGTACTTGATATGTTCCAAGCACAGCTCCCATTTGATTTCAGTTACAGTGGGAACACTTCAGCCTGAACAGTTAAAGTTTGAAAAAGATTTAAGCAATTGAAAAGAGGATCTAGTAGTGGAAGATGTTAGGCAACTTTACTGGCATTGCTGCCACCATCCCCTATGATACATTACCACAAAAGACAATCCTGCACTTCAGATTTTTGCTACATTATCTCCATGGAAGCCTTACTTGCCTCATAAGCTGCACACAAAAAAACTAGTTCAACTGTGTATGTACTCACTTTTCATCAATCTTCTATCACCTTCCAAAATTTCTATCAACAATTTCCACTGCCTTTTGACTAAACATATAAAAAGACAGGGAATTTTTCATTAAAAGGATATTTAGAATGTGTTAGGGATCCTATAGCAATTAAACTGTGAAAAAAACATCCTCCTTGGAATTTTCAGTCCAAACAGTGGGTCTGCAGGTGACAGGATGCAAACAAACAAACTCCACCTACCAAAACCCCAGCACCTTGCTTCTGGTGAACAGAGTTTAACAAGGTTCCTGTATACGTATTCAAAATTATTTATACACTGCATCACTAGTAAGCCTGGCAGTATACTTACTGTGTAAATCTATTTTATATAATACACAGGACACAACAATTACAGTACAAAACATTTAACAGTAAAATTGCATCTGACTACATTACAGAAGCATAACACTTTCATATTCTCTCCCTGTATTGCTTCAAGCAGTACTATTTTATCACTTACTTGCAGCTTGTTTTCTTGCTAGCTGCAACAATCATGACCCCCCTTGAAGTCTTTACTTTGGTTGATTAAAGACTTTTTGCTGGGTCCTGCTGGTTTTTGAAGACCGTAACAGTTTAGATCAGGGGTGGGCAAACTACGGCCCCCGCGCCGGATCCGGCAGGCGAGCTGTTTAAAGCCAGCCCGCGAGCTCCCGCTGAGGACCGGGGTCTGGGGCTTGCCCCGCTCTGGTGTACCAGCCAGGGAACAGGGTCGGAGGCCGCACCATGCGGCTCCCGGAAGCCGTGGCATGGCCCCGCTCCAGCCGCGGCGCAGGGTCGGGGACTGCACCATTCGGCTCCCGGAAGCCGTGGCATGGCCCTTCTCCGGCTCCTACACGCGCCAATGGCCCCCTCCGGCACTTCAATGGGAGCTGCAGGGGTGGTGCCTGCGGATGGGGCAGCGTGCAGAGCCGCCTGCGGATGGGACAGCGTGCAGAGCCGCGCCTACTGGCGCCTCTGCATAGGAGCCTGAGAAGGGACATGCCGCTGCTTCCAGGAGCTGCTTGAGGTAAGCGCCGCTGGTAGCCTGCACCCGAGCCTCTCCCCATGCCCCAACCCCCTGCCCCAGCCCTGATCCCCCTCCCACCCTCTGAACCCCTCGGTCCCAGACCAGAGCATCCTCCTACACCCCAAACTCCTCATCCCCAGCCCCACCCCAAAGCCCGCACCCTCCAGCCGGAGCCCTCACCACCACCACCCCCGCACCCCACTTCCCCATCCCAGCCAGGAGCCCACTCCTGCATCCTGAACTCCTCATTTCTGGCCCCACCCCCAGAGCCCGCACCCCTAACCAGAGCCCTCACCCCCTCCCACACCCCAACCCCAATTTTGTGAGCATTCATGGCCCGCCATACAATTTCTATTCCCAGATGTGGCCCTCGGGCCAAAAAGTTTGCCAACCCCTGATTTAGATCCTGGCTCTTTTAGAAACTTCCTCCTTCTGCAACCTTGTCCTTACTCATCTTTAGTCATATGCTTTTTAGGAATCCCAAAATTGTTTCATAGGTCAGCTGATGATCATGCCTTTGTGATAACAGTTTAAGTTGTTGTACTGCCCCCCCCACTCCATCTCAACCATTCTTTCTCCACTTAATCCCCCTCCCTCACTGCCAAACAAATACCTGCCATGCATTTTCAATGTGGCTACTGTTTGCCACATATTTATCACTTACTGCCTTTTCCTATCCTAGAGCCCATCTTAATTTAAAGTTTTCAGAGACTTTCCCCTGCCCTTTTTGAAACCATAATTTAATGATTTTTATTGTATTTTATCACTGTGTTACACCCTCAACACCTTAGTTTGGAGGTGGAAGATGTGGCACGTTAAGAATAAGTAATCTCCCAAAGGGTTTTGAAAGGATGGCTGTACATTGCTTTGAAGATATACAAATGCTTTAAAATGGGTAAGATGTTTTTCTCTCCATATATGTACTAAAAGGAGTTCAATTCACCGTAAAGCATAGAATTGCTGTAGATTGAACATGGACTGGAATAAATGCACTTAGAGATTTATCATGACTGGCAAGCAACTTTAGAGACATTAACATTAACTGGAGTGGATCATAGACATTAACTGAGTGGATCATCATTTGCTGGAACTGCATAAAGGTAAAGTAGGAACAAACTTTTTGAAGGACTGGTATAAACTTCTGCAATATACACATCTTCACAGATTGACAGAGGGAAGAGAAGCCATTTAGATTTGGCAACTGTTACTCAGTTGTCTTCAAATCTTCAACCAAGTGTTACTGTATTGGCTTTGTTCTGCATTCCTTGCAGTTTTTATAGTATTCAGATACCATCTCTAGAGTTATCAGCAAATGCTAGAGTAATTCAAGCAAGACAGGACTGTACATGGCTGTAAAATAAAATAGTTGTGTACATTTTACTAGTTGGGTTATTGACACAGTTTTTGAATATGAACTTATGTATGTGTATTCCCATGAATTCTCTTCACCTAACCCAGCTAACATGTTAAAACTACAACTTGCGCTGCTTATACCAGGATTATAAAATGCTAACTATCGTATGTAGAAAAAAATTCCTAATGTGGATAGCATAACTCATTTTCCCACTTTAGATAAGCCATAATCAGCTACTGCTAAAGGATCTTAATTTGTTATAGGAAAAAAGAACTAAATCTAATAGAACAATATAAATAGCATAGTATCCAATTCTGTTCCCACTAATGAAATCAGTGGAGGAACTCATGCAGCAGGATCAGGACTCTCTGGGTTCTCAGCAGAACACAGTACCTTTTCCTGAGATATAGTCATTTTAATTTCACAACTGCTTTAGAGAAAAACATTGCACAGCAACAAAATATACATTTATTTTAAGGTAACACTACATAACAGGGAGGAAGCCTGAAAAAACACAAAATCCTGCACAGTGGGAAACTTATCCTAGCCAATACCAACTAACACCTGCATAACATACAATGAGGAGGCTACATGCAAAGCTAGGTGTGTTGGTTAAATACATCAGTTATATCATTTATCCACTGTTCTGAGTCAATTAAATGCACTGCACTGAATACATCCCTAGCAACCATCCCAATTAAAAAGGTGTGCCATTTATCAGGCAGGTGATTAAGTGGATTCTACTATATTGGCAGCTTCGTAGGATTCTGTAAGATTCAATCTATTCTAGAGCATTCAATACAGTTCAGGGCACAGAAGTTATGTTCCTATACTGCATCCATCACAATCATCTTCAGAGTTTTCCTATTTAGATATTAACATTCTAGTAATCTTCTCCCATCTAGTTAATGTTATTAAAAATGTCACAGGTCTAAACAAAAAAGTCCAGAACTCTTGTGACAGTCACCCATTCATGTACCTGTATCTCTGGACCTCCCATCACCAGTACATGTGGATATTACTTATCTTAAAGCTCTGGATTGCTTAATAATCTTTCATAATTTGCTGTGAAGACTAACTACTTAGAGCAATCTATCAAGCACGAAAAAATGGTTACCTACCTCTCATAATTGTTGTTCTGCGAGATGTGTTGCTTATGTCCATTCCAAATAGGTGTGCGTGTGCCACATGCACAGTCGTCGGAAGGTTTTTCCCCTAGCGGTACCTGTCAGGTCAGCCGTGGAGCCCCCTGGAGTTGCACCTTCATGGCGGTATATATAGGTCCCTGCCAACCTGCTGCCTCTTCAGTTCCTTCTTGCTGGAGTACTCTGACAGAGGGGTAGGCGGGTGGGTTTTGGAATGGAGATGAGCAACACATCTCGAAGAACACCAGTTACGACGTTTTTAATTCTCCAAGTGCTTGTTCATGACGATTCCAAGTAGGTGACTCCCAAGTATTCCCTAGAAGGAGGGGTCAGAGTTCACCGAGTCGCAAACTGCAGCACTGCTCTGCCAAATTCTGCATCAGCTCTGGCACAGTGCGAGGTAAACGATCACATCGCTGCCCTGCAGAGGTCCTGAATGGGGACCCGGGCCAGGAACGCTGCTGAGGAAGCCTGCGCTCTTGTGGAGTGCGCTGTTAGTGCTGAGGCAGGTATCTTAGCATGTCCTAATACAGGCTGTGATCCATAAAGAGATCCTTTGGGACAACACTGGGAGCCCCCTCATCCTCTCAGCAACTGCAATGAAGAGCTGTGTGGATTTTCGAAATGGCTTTGCTCGCTCAATGCAAAAAGCGAATGCGCGTCTGACATCCAGGAAGTGAAGCATCCG